GGTCAAGATTGTTCTCTCCATTTTAAGGGTGGGGAAACTGAGGCATGGATATTTGGGTCAAGATTTTACAGTGCTGCCACTCTAAATACATATTTTGGTCTGAAAAAACCTGCCCTTAATGAGAAACAGCATTGCATCTTATCACCTGTTTGAACCCTGCTGGGTTTTACACCCTTGTCTGTTCAAAAGCCTGGGAAGCTCTTCCCCAGCAAAGTAATAACAGATGATGAGCAAGATGCCTCCGTTTTCTCATCAATAAAGGAAATGAGTTGCTCATGAGGACATCTAGTCCAGTCCCCCGCTCAAGACCAGGGTCATCGCTGACTAGAAGGATACTTGGCTGGGATGGTTGAATCTGCTTTTGAAAGTTTTGAAGCATAGAGAATTACCCATTTCTCTGGGTAACCTGTTCCAAGCCCTGACCAGTCTCACAGTCGGAAAATTTCTCCTAATCCCCATCTTAAATTTCTCCTGCTGCAGCTTGAGGCCGTTGCTTCTAGTCCGGTCCCCTACAGCCACCGAGAAAAGCTCATCTCCATCCGCTGTATAATTGTTCTTCAGGTATTTGACGACTGCTATCAAATCCTCTGCCACCCCCACTCTTCTCTTCTACGGGCTAGATAGCCCTAGTTCTTTCAGCCTGTCCTCACACGTCTTGCCTCCCAGGCCCTGAATTATTTTTGTTGCCCTGTGCTAGACTATTTCTAAACTGTCCACATCCTTCTTGAAGTGTAGGGTCCAAAACCGGACACAGGACTGTAGGTGAGGCTTCCCCAGTGCTGAATAAAGTGGAAGACTCACTTCCCTTGATTTGCAAGTGACACTCCTGTTAATACTATTGCCTTTTTTTTTTGCAACACAAACTCAAATTCAGCCTATAGTCCCCTGTAATCCCCAGATCCTCCTCTGCAGTACTGCAACCAATCCAGTCATTCTCCCGTTTGTATTTGCACGTGCCGTTTTTCCATCCCAAGTTCAGGACCTTGCACTTGTTGTTGTTGAACCTCATCTCATTGATCGTGGATCATTTTTCCTGTCTATCCAGGTCATTGTGGATCCTAGCCCAGCCCCCTGGAGTGTCTGCAGTTCCACCCAACTTGTTGTCATCCACAAATGTGCGCTCTCAGTCCCATCATCCAAATCGTTCATGAAGATGTTGACTAATGCAGGACCCAGGGCAGACTCCTGGGGACTCCCGTTTGAGGGCAATTGAGGACTACTTGAGTACAATGATCCACCCGATTCCGTATCCACCTTGAACTTCTTTTGATCTAGTCTGTGCTTCTAAGGTGTCCAATTAAAGGGAGCTTTCATTGAGAACCTGTCGTTCCTTGGGCACGAGGGATCCAGAATTGCACCACCAACCCACACTCTAATACTCAAGGCAATAAGCTTAATCCATAACTAGATTTCAATTTTCCTTACAGCCGTGGACTTTGTCATTTTAATTAAGGGGAAAGCTAGCGGTAAGCATTGGTGGGTCAGGGCAACAGTATTGTCTACATCACAGGTTGAACTCCCCAGAATCATAGCTTTTTTTTAATGAATAAGGATTGTTGGTGTTGTCGCATTTTTTCTCCTGGCTTTGAGTTGTGAGGTGCTACTTTTTCAAGCTTGTCTTCAGAAGCATGAGGCCTAGATAATACCCAATCGATAACGAACTAAAAACATGTCTCCTGAGAATTTCTTATGCTCACATGACTCCTGGAGGTTAAAGCTTGTAAGATGAGCACTACATATCATAAGGCCCAGGAGAAAAACGGTGAGGTTTCACACAATAAGTCACAAGAGTGATATGGGTTGAACACTAATTTACGGAAATCTTGTGTAGAAGAGGACAGGAGAATGGAGCTGGGTTGAGTGAGCAGGGTTGATGAGCAGGTCAGTCTCCTGGTCTTTGCTCTCTCCGGCGGAGGATGCGTGGTACCATTGCAGATACCCTCCCCGGGACTATTGGCTAGACATGGACATGTCTTTTTGCTCTTGCTGGTATCCGTCAGACCGCCGTTCCTTGCGAGTGCTCTTGTGAAGTGCTGCATCAACACGCATGGGCCACCACTTCTCCTTGCTAGTCACTACCATCCACTTTTCGGTGTGTGTTAGCCTCCTTTAATCATAGATTCATAAATTGTAGAGTCGGAAGGGACCACGTGTCCGACCCCCTCGCCCAAGCGTAAGGCACACTGCAGCCTCTTTACACTAACTCAGCTTGCTTCTTTGGTGGGCCGTCCACCACCGAGACCACTTCCTGATGTCTTCCATCGATTCTCCGTGAGTGACTTCTGCGGGCACTCAATGCCTATACACTATTTCCAGTTCAGGATTTCAGATTTTGGATCCTTTCTCAAGCAGATGGTTCCTCTGCCGCATCATCGGGAAAACTCCTGGGCTTTGCTCTACTTTTCTGACTCAGGGTTGGGCTAAATACAAAAAAGATTGTTTTAGATTCACCATGGGATGAAGTAAACGAAGCTGGGGTGAACTGGAGAATCAATGAGATAATAGGACTCGGTTCCTCCTTCGGGTCCTGCCGGTTTTGTTTGCCTTATGGAAACCTGTGCACCTCGGCCCACAACGAGTCTCCTCATAAGCCTTTTCACTTGGGTAGTTCTTTACATTTTCCAGAAAATGGACAAACACTAACTCATCTCTCTGCTGGGAACACACAATAAAAAGGCAACTTTTACAGTTGGAAAAACTGAGGCACAGAGCAGCAACGGGACTGGTTTGAAGTGGGACTGAACAAGGAGGGTGGGTCTCTGCTCGGATCTCCAAGCATCCCAGCCTCGAACCTGTGTCCAGTCCCTTGGGTACCATGTCTTTTTTTTCTGTTTGATGAATGTGAGAAAGCATAAAGTTGTCCTGCATCCCAGCTGGAGTGATGCAGAGAGGAATTAGGGGAGAGAAGTGCGGTAAGGTTGGGGGAGAGAGATGTTTAGCAGGGATTTGAAGGGAGGAGGGAAGACCTGTTTGCATCTTTTCTTGTAATGTCATGGGACAGGATTGCAGGTCAAGACTGCAAATAAAATACAGTGCAATGATCTGAGTTGAACCAAAATCTTTTGGCTCCCCTAAAATGGGCAGGCTTTGCTTTGGGGTTACAAAATCCCTTTATTTTAATTTCTTTTTAATGAGGTTGGTTTCCAAATGGAAACGCGGTTTTGAAATGAAAGATTGAGACCAAAATGCTGAGATATTTCCAGAAATGTTTCCCCTGATTTTTTCCAGCTGAAACACTGCTGGCTTCATGTGAATTCCCGGTTTGCCAAGCAGCTCCCGTGGCCATGTGTTCCCCCAACTTGTCGCATGGTTTCGGTTAAGCCATTTTGCCTTTGTGCTGCGATTTCTCTATCAATAAAGATTGAGCTTATGGTTGTTCCCTGACGCGCAGGAAGCTGTTGTCGGCGCCCACCTTTGCATAAAGTAACCTGTACAAGGTGGGCAGCCCACGGGCTACTCACTCCACCATCCCTTAGACCTGTGTAGGCGAGGCGGTGACAGCGTGCGGGATTCAACCAGGGGTGTCGACTCCTTTGCTCTAACAGCTGGCACTTACTCTTGCGACTTCTTTCCTGTGGCTTTCCTGCCTTCCTTTCCTAGTTCATTCATACAGCCAGGGTCAGAGCCATCGTGGGGCTCTGAGTCTCCTTACCCCACAACCCCGGCCTCGTCTCCTTGGGCCGCACTGCCCGGGTGCGTACTCAGAGGGAGGAGCAGTCTCATTGTCTAGGCAATTCCCTCTCCTCTCTACAGAGCCAGGCCGAGGCAAAGCGCTTAACTACATACACATTTATCGCCACGATAAATAAATATGAATAAGAAATATTAAATATTTACAGTAAAATTAGTATGTGACACCATATATAATAACCTGCAACCAACATATGGCACCAGTTGGAGAGACTGCAGAAACATAAACCGGGTGATTCACAGCATGTGCGATAATTAACCCCCCTGCACAGAATAAGCATTAACTCTTTGGTACAGGTAAGTCAAGGCATCAACACAATAAACACACATGAGCATCAACTTAAATAACCCCAGGTGAGTTGAGGTAGCAATACCATAGATGTACACGGGCAGCAACACAGGTAGGTATGTTCCGATAACAGGCAATAAACACACGTAGGCAATGAAGAACATAAGCTCCCCTAAGGAGTACTCATAACTATATTAACTTCTATAGTACGAAACAGCAATAATCACAAAATATGGGGTGCACTCAGTGTTCCCTGGAGCCCCTCCCCTTTGGGGTCCCGGGATGTGGACATGCCCCCCCCCCCCACAATGGAGGAGGGGGGAGGCGGCAGACCCTCCTCTCCCGTGCCCACCTCCCCTGCGGGACCCACTTCCCCACCAGCTCCTGCTCCCACTCTGAAGCAGCCAAGGCTCATCCCATGGTGGCCAGTCCCACAAGGGCCTCTGTGTGGCGGCGCCTCCGGCTCCTCTCGGTGGCCTGGCTCCCTGGGTGCCCACGGGAGCTGAGCCCTTACTGGCTCCGGTTCCCCGACTTCACACCGGGGGTCCTTCCCTTTCCCGGGTCCTGCTCTGGGCATCGGGGCTCTTGGTTTAATGCAGAGCCATGCTGCAGGGCTCCAGTTACTTAGCTTAGCATTTGGGCTAACTTGAGCAGCCTCGAGCTGCTCCCAGAGCCAGCTCTCCATGCGCCGACCTGTACACCATGTGGGGCCTGAGCAGCCTTGAGCTGCTCCCCACATCCTAGCAGCCAACACAATCCTTCTCAACACCAGTACTTTCTTTTAGTTGTCATTTTCCCAGAGCATTTGCAGTGCGACACAGGTGATTATTGAGGTCGTGGGAGCCCTTAGATTTGAGTGATGGTGCCTGGGTGCAGTGGTGGGAATGTATTTGCAGGGGTAGGGAGAAGTTCATTCTGGGGCTGCTGCACTTTTCTTGTGGCAACACTCACAGACTTTAACCAATTGCCCTTTTCTTTCCATGTGTTCTCTCTCTCTCTCTTTTTTTTTACACTTAAACAGAAAATCCTGCCTTTGCCACTGCCTAGAAAATGTCTTATGGATCTATCGATGGAAGCGGATTCGGAAGCAGGAACCCCTTTGGAGGCCCGTCAAGACAAGGATATCAACCCTTAGGTGATGTATTGAAGTCTTCCTGTAATTAGTTACAGGCTGGGGAGTGCAAGTTTTAACTACTAATGCTTAATGTGGCTGATGTATCTCGGTAACTGTATGTCGTGCTTTATGGCAGATTATTTGAACTATAGTTCCTGACAAGGAAGTCAAGTTTCCATTGGGTTTGGTTTGTTTGTTAGCCATTGAGGTAATGCTTAAGACATATCCAGGACAGGTGAGCTGGTAGCTTCGGGTAAGAAAATCTGGGACTTCTTTGCTGGCGTTGTGTTGTCCTGTGTCATTTCGGACAGCTGGAGATGGACCGGTCCAGTGGCAGGTTGTACGGATGCATAACTCCCTTCCACTGGCATCCTCCTGCAGCAGCAGAGCACCGTGCAACGCCCCCACGTGTGGTCAAGTGCTTGCTTTTGTGTCTCAGGTGAATTGGTGAGTGGAGCTGTTGAGATGGTCTGCAGCAGGGACCTGGCTGTGGGGCCCATCGTGGGTATTTTGACTCTCAAGAGGTGATGCATTTAATCGGTGACGTGCTCTGACATTACAGCGACGAGGACAAACTGCTCAGTGAATGAATGCAAACCCACACACAGCATTTAGCAAACAGCTGCTTTTTTTTTTTTTAAACAAAGCTCAGTGATATTCTCCTTGTTTCCCTCCCCTTCCCTCTGGGGGCTCTTGGAATGCTAAAGTGGAAAGAGAAAAGCATCCAGATGTCAGCCTGTATGTTTTAAACAGTCTCTAATGCACAGTGCAAGGCTACGCTCCATAAAAGCCAACTCGTAATACAACTGTCATAACACAAAGGGCAGCTAATGACTACAACCTCCCGCTTTTGCTTGTTGAAGTGGTTCGCTCTGGCATGTGCCCTTCTCCAAGGCAGGTGCTGCTCCCCGGAGGGAGTGGAGGTGGGAGCAGATGAGTTCCCGCATAGATGCTGGAACGAGTGTGTTGTAGATACCTCAAGTGGCAACTGGGGACCAGCTGTTATGTTATGGATGGCAAAGCTGGGTTTGCTCTGTGCATGGTGATGTGGATGCGATTCCTGGGCACATCCACGCTTGGGAAGAGGATGGTGTACTCTGGCACCACCCTGCCTGATGGACCACACTGTCTTAGAGCAGGAGGAGGAGATGGTGGCCCAAGGAGACCTTCAGCAGAGCTGTTATGGTTCTGGCAGTGAGCAGATGAGAGGGCCCAGCATCATCCCAAACCAGCATCATCTGAATGGACTCCCCAGGCTCTAGTGGCTGGAGCAACAGGAGAGTTACTATCCTTTGCATCTCACTATGATGCCTGAAGTCAGCATCTTGCCAGAAAAGCAAACTGCTCTGCATAAAGCAGTCACATAGGATGAGGTATTGTGGCCAGAGGGACTTATATGTGCACTGAGATGAAGATCAGCAGTTCCCAAGCTAAGGGCCATGCCCCCATTTGAGGTCGCAGCACTTGTGATCGGGGTCACTGGCCCTGTAGTAATTCAGCTGGGCTTATACTGGATGTGATCCTGCCCCTAGAAGAAGATGCGCAGCCTCAAATGTAGGTTGGCAGCCCCCAAATGCTTGGGGATTCATGGGGGGGATGCTTTTTGGGTAGACAAAACATCCGTGTTTTATTAGGGACAATAGAAATCATGTTCTGAACGATTTTTGTCATTGGTGCATTGATAATCATGTGCAGGTGACTTCCACAGAAGGAGCATTTGGACTCATCTCTCTCAGTAGGAGTCATCGAGGCACAAAAGAAATCAAGTTTGGATTCAGAATCCCCTCTTCAGGCGCTAATTTGGGGATGTGGCTGCCTGCAGTACTAGGGGCTGGACTCGGGGACCAAGGAGTCCCCTGGGTGGTTGTGTCTTCATTGCCTCGTTAGGGAGTGCTGCGATGAAGGTGAGCATGCCTGCCCAGCCTGGGGATGGGCGCAGCTGCCTTCAGACCGATGCATGCTATTGATTCCCCCCCCCCCAGTGCCACCTTAGGGCAGCTGTGCTGCACCCATTTTGGGCTCGAGCACACGCCAAGTGCATGCACCCTGCTTCTCTGCCTCAATCTTGTGTGGTTTGGAGACAGGTTAGACAAACCCTGGCAGCCTGGCATTCCTGTGAATTGTATAAACCCTCCCCACTTTGCTTTTCACAGTTTGTTCAATGGCTTACAGTGGAATTTGCCTCTCTACAAAGGCAGCATGAGCCCTATGAACTGTTGTAGATGCCTGGGCTGGCACCTTGGCACAAGCAAACATGTCATCCTTTTTTTGCTGGGCCTTCAGCTTTGACTGCAGCTTGGGACGTCAGCTTGGCTTTGGCATTCGATTTCTTAGGGATGCAAATGTCCCAGGGGAAGCATTCCCTTGTTTGCAAAGAGCAATCCCTTCTGGATGGTGGGACTGTCCCTTCAGGAGGACACCTATTAATGTCCTTTTTTCCTAAGAGTTTGGGCTTACTCAGTAGCACCAAGCTGAATTCAAGTGGTCTCTCTTATTTCTAAGTGGTGACTATTTCATAAGGAAGACGTGCTTGGAAGTGCAGCAGGTGATATGCTACTTGTTGTTCCTAGTACAATTTTATCCAGCCCACAAAGCATTGACTGGAGCCCCTCTCGCCGGCTATTCTCAGGCTGTGCATTGATGTGTCGATCACAGGAGTCTTGCCGGTTCTTCTTTCGGGTGAGTGCGAATGAATTGTGAAGCTGCGCAGTGCTCACGCCTGCTCTTTGGTTTGTTTTCCCAGATAAAAGATCACCAGTCTCTTCAGCGTGTTGATTCCCTCCTCTCGCCCTTCTCCTCCAGCGTGTTCAACATTAGAGCAGCATGTTCTGATATATAAGAGAAGGTGGATTAGCATGGACCTCATGCTGTTAAACACCAACCTCTGAGACAGGAGACCTGGGGTCTGCTGCTGCCAGTTTTCCTGTCTGTAACACTGAGCACAATATCAGCCTGTCGAGTCCTTTCTCTAAAGTAGTTTGGCTTCTGTGCAAGTGTTCCCATTGCTGACTCTACTTTATGGCAGTGAGCAATGCCTGCTCTGTGGTACTCCACGGTTTGGGGACAAAGGAGGTGTCTGAGGGAGAGTGTACAGGTGGCACAAAGGGAAGTTAAGAAATTAGTCACATGAAACTGAGCAAAAGGTAGAATAATGTTTCCACGGACAAGATGCATGGTTGTTACTCCAAGGTGGTGATGGGGCATTAGATTGGGGTGGCCAGCCTGAGACATGGGTGTCACAAGTGGCACGGGGCTGCAGCATGTGCAGAAAACACAGGGGAGGGAGCAGAAAGCAGAGCAGCAGGTAGAGCAGGGGAAGGGGATCAGAGTGGCAATGAGGGAGGGTGCAGTGCTTAATTTGTGGCATGCCCACCAAAAATGTTGCCCCCCTCCCCACTAGATGAGACTGTACCAGAGAGAGCAACTTCGCACTGGCTGGGAGCGGCCCACAGGGCTTCTTGTCTTCACTGGCATCTCCTCTCCATGATTGAGCATCACTTAAACCTGCGAGACTTTCCTTGCCCGTGATTCATGGCAGCGAGTGACATATGCTGGGTGCTTTTCCTTGTAGGATCCCCAAATATTGCCATTTAATTACATGTCAAGGTTGGCTGATTTGGACACCAGTCTTCTGCTACCTGCTTCCAGGAGGCAGACTGTGATTGAGTAGGTAACCCTGTCGTGTCCCCACGGTGTGGGCAGAAGAAAGGGACACGGCCTCCTATCCTAACCTCTGTAAGTCTGTAAGTCTGCTTGCAGAGACATTATGTTCCTTCATGAAGGTGTGTGCATATGTGTTCATCAAAACAGCCCTCTTTTCTCTATACTTCAAATAGATTTCCCCTAAATAGCTCTGTGGACAAGAGGAAGCAAAACAAAAATATTAAAGGATTTCATCGACAGTGCACAACCCCTTCTCTCCGTGCATGCTTCACAAACTGCATCGGCATAGCACTGCTGAAACGTAGCCACTTCTGAGCTTGAGAGGGGCAACAAGCTGAGGCTTAGCATGCGGAGCCAGAAGGGTTTTAGCTAATATACTAGAGAAGGGCCACTGCACAGAGTTGAAGATCTCATCCCAAAGACCTGCCAAAGGACAAGTCTCCAGAAGGACACTTGTGTGTGCATTCAATCTTCAGCTGAGGTTGTGTGTGAGCCTCAGAGGGGGTGTGCATGGGGAAGTCACAAATGTAGAAAAAGTGCTGATTTACCTTTGAAATGCAGCAGACTTAGCTTTTCTGCCTTGGAAAGGAGAGGAGATGAAATGGGTCTCTAGAAAATTTTTGAATGACAGTGGGCCTTTGAATAGAAGAAAGCCCCATGGGACCTTACTTGGCATCTCTTCTAGGCTGGGCATGGACGTCACCTTTGCACCATAGACATTTCTGTGGCAGCTCAAAGTGGAAGCAAGCAGATGTCCAAACCTTCTGTCATGCCCAAAATGCTCACATCTATGGCAGCGACAGACTATAGTAACACATTGGACCACTTTATTGCAGCCCCTGTGTGTTGGCTTGTGGAGGAAGAGCTCAGCAGAGTGAAGCTGCCCAGGCCCTCCAGCCTCCCTGAAGGGCTCAGTTCTGCACACACCAGGACTTCCCTGGGCAGGGTCAGCCTCCATCAAGCCTTGCGAGTGCCTGCCTTGCTTTCCCTGCTTAACCAGATGTGCCCCTTCCAGCGATCTCTCCCCATGCCCGGTGCTTTGCAGATGTGCTAGGGGTAATGTTTTGCAGAGGGATTTGGATTTCCCCGTGTGTGCTTGCAAATGTGGAGCGGGGGGCCCTGATTCGAGCTCCCCCCTGCTCTGCCCTTGCAGGTGTGTGCAGGGGATGCTCTCACTCCCCACCACGGGAGGCATGTCTGCAAGTGGGGTTTTCACCCCTGCTTGGAGACGCTCCCCAAGTCAGGGCACAGCAATGGCTCTAGATGTCCCTGGGGTGTGATTAGCTGGGCCACGACTTGTCACGCTCCAGCAAAGATGTTTGTTCCTAGCCTCAGTCTGCCAGGGAGTCACTGATCCCTGTTGTTTGAGAGTGAGTCTGCCTTATGCTGGTTTTAGCTAGCCCATGCTGCCCTGGTTTGCTTATGTGATTTGGGACAGCTTCAGCAGCCTTGCTAAGGTCCAGATGCATCATAGCGGCTCCCCCTTATCGGCTTAGCTAGTTATCCTATTAAAGAAGGAAATTAGATTGGTTTGACACAACTGGTTGTTGACAAATCTGCGCTGGCTGGTTTTTTTCATCACCTTATTATCCTCTAAGCGCTTATGAATTGATTGTGCAATAATTTGTTCTGGTGTTTTTTTTCTTGCCATCACAATTACAGTGACTGGTCTGTCATTCTTTAGGCCCTCCTCTTTCTCCTTTCTAGTGCTGTTTGCTATTGAGAAGCATTTGCTTGCTGGTACAAAACACTATTAAATCTTGAATGGAAATGTTATGTATGTGTTGGGAATATTGCTCGCGCAGGGTATTATAGCTCATTGACACCCTCTTGCATTGACTTACTTCACTTTGTGGGCCAATTTCTACTGGCAAATGCATCGATTATTGCGTGGGCAGCATTCACGTGACTGAAAACAGGATTTGTCTCTGAGATGGTATTGAGAAGACACCTGCTGCTTGCCTCCTGTGACACCCCACTGGGGCTATAAGTGCTAAGCGTGGTCCCGTATCAGGTGGGTGGGGAGCGTGCATGGTGAAGGGCATCTTCATTAGTGCGTTAGATGGCTTTGGTAGTCGAGTCACTTGTGCTCCCCCACCCCCATGGTTCAGGACCAGTCGTCGCTGTGCTGTACAGAACGATTGCGGGTGAAGTTCCCATCGACAACCCTAACTTCTTTATGAACTCACAGGTGGGGTTGCCATGCTCCACACCCTGTCCCATCCCAAAGAAAAAAGAGGGATGGTTTTGTCTTCCGGTGGCCTGCCCTGTAAGTAAGTAACCCAATCTTTTCATGTCCATAGGACCAAGGAAACCAGACCACATGTGCCAGCACAGGTGAGGAGTGGGAGAAAAGCAGGCTCTGCTCTTGCCTTTCTTCTTCCCTTCCCCATTGCCTTCTTGATCCTTCCTCCTCTCCCCTTCTCCTCCCTCCATGTCCACCTGGTCCCTCATACCAAGCTTTGGAAGCTGATGGCTTAAAACAAGGATGGTAATATCATGGGACTCGCTACTGTCCTCTGGCTTGCTAAGTACCTAGGGCTGCATGTTTTCTTCCACATGAAGACACACAGTGGGTGAGGATTTTCAGCCTTTTCTGCAGCATCAGACGGCAGTAGTGCATAATGCTGTCGTGTTCCTCTGGCAACGTGGCAATGGGGGAGGCAGCACACAGGGTTCGGTTGCATAAACACCAAGCAAGGTGCAGTCCCGTGGATCACACCTGTTTCAAAGCCCAGGGACATTAGGCCATATGCACAAGCTGGGTTTTTCCAATGTGCAGACACTACAGCTACGTGTCCCTTGGTTCCCTGCTGCTGGCTGGGGTCCTGTGACAGCTCTGGTGGCGTTTGCAGGGTAGGCAGAGGAGGTTAGTGATCCAGCTCAGCAGCTCAGCATGGGCTTAACACTAAGTACATGAGTTGTCCTGTTTGAAGTCGATTTAAAGTTAAGCATTTTAGTGGAGCAGGAACTTTGTGGTTGTCTTTCTCAGCGTTCGCTTCCAGAGTGTATAGCTGTACAGCGTGTGGCTCACCCTGGCATCTCTAACTAGTCTCTGCATTGGACCCTGCTATGCTAGGCATGGCAAAAAGATGATGCCTACCCAAAAAGCTTACTGTCAAACAAGGTCTCTTCTCTCCTGCTGTGCCCCTTTGCACAAACTTTCCTGTGCGTGTGGTTGTATTGGGGCACTGCGGTTAGCAGAAAAGGCGTATGAGTCCGTACTGCATGGTTGCATTTGCCCTTCTCTGTATGTCCACTGCAAACTGTTCCTGCCTCATTCTCAAGGCAGGGAAACGATAGGAGTGATCATCTGGAAATCTGCAAGACGCTGGGATTTTTTCTTGAAGGACCCGTGCAGGTTTATCCTACTGACCTGCTCTTTTTTTCTTACCAGTATAGCACCTTAGCCATAGCACCCACCAAAACAATGATTATTGTTGTTTTTTTAATTGACTTTTTCTACATTTATTAATGACTGGCGTAGACTGAGTTAGTGGGTAAGTAGCAGTATCTGGAGCTGAACTGGCTCAGCATGATAACGATGGAGGGACATGAGTGCGATCAGGAGGAATAATCAACTCCTTGACTTGGATACTCTGAAGGGATTCAAGACTTCAGACCAGGTCCAAGACCAAAAGTGCCGCATGCCAGGGCTTTTCAAAATAACGCCCTTAAGAAATGACCAGCCGGAGTCCATCTCTCTGATCCAGCTTCTCGTGCTCACTCATGCTGCCTGAAGGTACAATTCATCCAGTTAGGTTAAGTACATGAAATAAGGTGTCCTTTCACCTGAGACCCACGCAGCATTTCACAAACATTAATCACATTTGTGAACACCCCTTTGAGAGAGGTCAGTGCAATCTTCATTTAATTTGGCATGGAGCGGTAAGAATGAAGTGTTGAAGGTTATCAAAGTGTGAGTAACACCACTGAAATGGACTTTAAGTACTGGAACCACAACGTAGAGCAGACATTTTCCTAAACTCAGTTAATAGATACAAAAAAAGTGAAACTAGAACAGAGTAATCAGAAAAGGCATTGCTGAGTCTGAAATGGGGTACTGAGCGGTGGCTGGGAGTCCTATACGCTGCAGTAATATGAGTCATAAATAGAAATAATAAAATGAAATCTCCCACTCGACACTTTCAAGAAAACTTGTATTCAGTATCTAACAAAAGAGCTGCTGTTTAGTACGTTCTTCGGTTGTTTAGTCCTGTGAATAAGACTGCCGAAAATTCTCAATGGTTTCTCTAGTCCAATTGCAGTAGCTTTTAGGAGATACTTCCAGTTTTATATTCGGCGCTATGATCTTACCAGTGATTTAAGGAATTAATAAGCCTAAACATAGAAAAACATATTAAAGGATAATGAACAAGTTGCTTTATTGTACAAGAAATTGCCGAGAGACTTAACTTGGAATCTGGAGTTGTTTAATGCCCAAGTTGAAAACTTCCCTCCCTTTCTTTCTGGGTATTTTAACATTGCAGCAAATGCTTCACTTAACTTCGCTAAAACAAGAAAGATTAACCGGTGCGTACATTTATATAGGTAACTAGTGAATAAAAGAAAGCCCACTGGAGGTATATCACTGTTTTAATGGGACATATTAGGGTGCTGTAGCAATCACTTATGTTAATAAGCTTTTGGGTTAGACTATCTCCTTTCCCTCAACCCTGGCATTCAGCTACACTTTTCCATTCTGTATCACCAAATATATCTTACTCTTAATTATTTTTAGACCCTCATACCTAGGACTTTCCCTCTTTAACAAGAAAAAAAAATAAATCCTAGAGGCTTCGTCCTATACGAGTAACAGAGGGAACTGATCCGTTGCTCCAGAAACACAGAGGCACTCAACTTTTTATGCATCCCATCCTCTCTAAAATGCCTCTTTCCCATGTCCCACTCACTTAACACCCAGACTTAAGTCATGTGGAGGAGAGGGCCCCTTCTTCTCTCTGTTGCTGTTTCATCAGGCCCGTGCCCCTTGCTGTGGATAAAAATGAAAGCGGATGAGTCCACACCATTATCCAAATCTTTGAGACCTCATCAGTCCCAAATCAGTAGCCCTAGTTGTATGGCTCTAAAATAGATGTTTTTACTTGTCTGTAGGAGGGAAGAGCCTTGATTTTGGTCTTGTGTCTTCTCCCTGAACTGGGGTTTGCCTCTGCTTCCCCGAACCAGCCAGAAATCCCAGCTCAACACCGTGCTGACTCCCTAAGCTCTCTGTAGCCCACTGCCCTTGCTCCCTCTTTTCATTATTCCCTGATGGTGATCTGGTACAGACAGCCCCAATCTGAACCATGCTGTAAGTGCTTTAGTATCTAAGGACGTTTATACACATGCTTCAGGAGTAGGAGGGTGGGGTGCTTTAATTAGAGTGGCTCTTGGAGTCACTCTAATTAAAGCACCCAGAGCGTCATGTGTATCAGCGTGCCCGTGCTAAAAAATGATGGTGGGGGTGTTTTAAGTAAAGCTCATCAAATGAATTTTAGTTAAAATGCCCCCACCACCATTTTTCAGTGCTGAGATGTTGATACACATGACGCTCCAGGTACTTTAATTAGGAAATTATTGGTATTAGGAATAATAGGAAAGCGCCCCCACTACCATTTTTCGGCGCGGAGACACTGATACATGTGTTGTCTGCTGGAGTGCGGTATTTACCACGCTCCAGCGGACTTGATTAATCGAGTCTGCACGTCTGTAGGCATCCTAAGGTAAACAGCAGGGGCGCATCCCTTTTATCTGGGTTAACTGAGGTGTAATGGGAAGTGGGGGACATGGTCACTAGGGACAGAGTTCCTTAGCTTTCAGGGTTTGTGTGACATTTCCAGGTCCAAGGAACGAGATGCTGGCTCTTCCCGTGATTTCACAGCACGCTGTCAGGTCAATGCGATTGCTGCTTGTCAGCCCTCTCCCCAGCCCCGTGTCCCCTCGGTGCAGTTTACACATGCCGGTTGAGAAGGAAGGCTGGTGTTCAAGTTTGGGCTTGGAGCTGGGATGCCAGAAACCTTAGTTCAAATCCTAGCTCTCTTTTGAAATGCTTGCTTGACATCCGACACGTTAGACATTTTCTGCCATCAGTTGTCCATTCATGTAGGATGGGTGGGCTGGCACCATATTCCCATCACCCGTTAGCTCCCTGAGTTGTTTAACCCACAGGCTAAGTACAGACAGCCAAAAAGCCTGAGACTGAATCGCTCCAGTCTTTGCAGGTTAGTCTAAGCTGGGCTGGAACAAAACTGATCGTGGGCTGGAAAACATGCTGGGATGCGGGGGGACTGTGGTTTAACTTGAGCCAGGAAGGGGTCCGGGACAGAAGTTTCATAAACCAGTTTGACCCAAATCAGTCAAGTCTGATACTGCATTCAAAGAGGTTTATCTTAAACCAGCTTCAGCCATTTTGAAACTGGTTTATGTGCACTGAACTTCTGTTCTGTTACAGCTTTAAACCAGTTTCTGATCATTTAAGCTGGTTTAAGTGTAACTTCTGTCGCTAGCCACATTGTTGGTATCAGAGACTTTCTAATTCTTTGTACTACAATTATTTTCCACCCTGGGGCTGCTGGGTGCTGTTGTGTTACAAACAGCCATCACTGCGATAGCAAATCTGCACAGTGACCCTGCGTGTGTTTTCTGCTTCTTGGGTGAGGAAAGCAAGGCACAGAGGGGCTGGTGACTTGCTTGGAGACGAGAAGCTAAGGCAATGGCAGGACTGCGCTTGGGCTTGTGAGGTTTCCCATGCAGCTGACTCTGGAGGGCTTCAGTTC